TTGTAAAGAGCACTCTGTTACAATTTGTGCAAATTGTAATTTAGTAGACGCAAACGAGGAAGAAAACGAAAGTGAATAGCACACATATTCTTAAATATGTTTATTTGTAAATGATTATCTACTCCTAGTTTTTAGATTTATATACTAATTATATAGTGTAGATAGAACAAGCAGCAAAACTGAAATGGAAATGGGCTGGACACAATGAACGTCTCCAAGACGGACGATGGAACAATGCCATTGGAAAGTGGCGTCCATACAATGCAAAGAGATCAAGTGGCAGACAACAGATGAGGTGGAAAGATGACATCAGGAAACAAGGAGGTCCCACATGGCAGAGAACAGCTCAAGATAGGGAAAGATGGAGAGAACTGGGGGAGACCTATATCCAACAATGGAAGAATAGAAAATAGGTTAAAAAAAAAATACTAGTTTTATAATATTTTTAATGTTAAGCTAATATACAAGAATCTCAAGAAGGTTATTTTTAGAGAAAAAGAAGTGGTTGAGTTTTTGTTCTTATATTTGTTGCTAATCTTTATATTTTCGTTATGTATTATTTTTTATGTTAAGACATTATCTTAAATATATGCCTACATTTATTATATACAATATATGTACTAAAAATACCTAGTTGTGGATTTTATTTGCGTTTTTAGTCGGTGGTGTACAGAATACACCGCGCACGTAGTTATGACTAATGGAGGGGCGCCCGTAGTTAAAGGTTAATATAACGCGTAAAATGTTTGATATAAAATCCAATTATTTTGTTATTTTGCCAAATCCTACTATGAAGTATACTGCTGATATATTTATTTTATGTAATATTTTGTTAACTATTAACTTTATTAAAAGCATCCTATAATAAAATTCAGAAGTCTTAATGTTTTTGTTTAATTTTCTTTTGTTGCCTTGAGTAATTGCGTTATATCATTGTAAATTTTGATACATAAATGTTTTTTTCTTCTTAATAGAATTTATAAATTGGCACAATATTCTTCGTTCTTTATTGCTTTCTTGTTTATTCTTCTTTCTAATAATCTTTTTCTTCCAATCTCCAATCACCATATAAATATTATAGTTTTTAATTTCTTCTAATCTCCAATCACCATATAGATAATATAATTTTTAATCTCTTCGAATCTCCATATACATAGTATAATTCTTAGTCTCCAACTAATATTCTCTTAACAATATTTTTTAATATTCATCTAATATACTTTCCAATACTATAAAACTGTAATACTAAATCACTGATTACTATCTTAAATACTGCATTACTGACTTTAATATTTTAATACTGACCACTGCATACTATATATTGACTAATACTCACTATTGACTACGCTATACTGTCCAATACTTACTATTGACTACTATCTACTGTCCTTATCCTCCAAATCACAGAGTATTTATATTATTTCAGTGTTCCCGAATATTCTTGAAAGAAAATATATTCGAATCTTTCCATTTCATAGTAACTCCAATATTGACGAACATTCTGCTACGAAAATAAGATTAAATTCTTTCTATTGACGTCTTATTTTAACGTTCTAGACAATTCTTTACTCTTATATCGAGAATTTTATAGAAATTTACGCTTTCAGATTAGAATGTATACTTATATATAAATTAAACATCTTAAATTAATAAATAACACTATTTTAAATCCGTAAATAATTATTTCAAATATCTCCCATTCACAAAAGTTCCCACAACCAAATTTACTTCAGTGTATATTTGGTTGCCTATATATGGCGTACTCAAATATATTACCAATATCATAGTTATTAAAATAACCAAATACATTGCAAAATAAAAACTTTTTTTACTTATTATTATGCTAATTTCTTAAAACTTTTCTCATATAAGTGCTTTTTATAATATTCTCTAGTACATAATTCATAAGTTACTTCTGTAATCACCATTTAAGTTCATTCTTGATTACCTTCGTTTCTCCTACATTTAATATTAACTCAATATTTAGTTTAGTTGTTGGCGCGTAATTTTCGCATCCTGCATAAAATTAGGTACATAATTTTGCACAATATAGCAAAGCAAATGTAAATAAACCAATAACAAGCCACAGTTTATAAAAAGAGTCCTCGTCTTCTTTTTTTTTAAACACATGTTCTGCTATTTTACACCATTCTTTTTAGCAAATAGAAATTACTTTATCGAACAAAATTTTCATTCTATAACGTAATTAAAAAACAAATGTACAATCTGTAAAAATCAATCTTCGGCTAGCTGGGCCACCTCCGTTGTGTTGTTTAGGATTAACACCCCGATACAAGTCGGTGGTCCATCATAACCAGGTTTATGCGGAAAAGGCTGTTTCTTACATAAATAAATAATATAAATATCTGGTTTTTTCAGTACCTTTCAGGAACCCAAAAAATGTACGTATCTAAATATTTTACAAAAATATATGCTTTCAATTTTGAAGTATAGATCATTTTCTTCTAATAGACCAGCGTCGTGTGGCCATGTATCTTTTAAATATACTTTCATATATTGGCTGTGGATTTAAGTCACGTTTGATGCAGAATATAGCTACAATAGAAGGCTAAGAAATTTGGAAATTAAATTAATAAAAGAAAAAATCAATATAAGGTTGAATGTTCGAATAATTAAACTTTGAGGGTGTACAAGGCAACTATCGAACACAGTGATTAATTTAATCTTGCCCAAGTACTTTCGATCAATAGATCATCTTCAGGGGCATTTCGTCAATTGTGGCCTATCCGACATAGTAGAATGTCATAAATGTAAAATCTGGACATAACAATACAAAATACACTACACTAAGACAAACAAACACTTTAAAATTTATATGGAGAAGCTACATATTGTGAAGAAGCCGGAGACAGAATGATGAATGAAAGAGTCTGTCTCCGGCTTCTTCACAATATGTAGCTTCTCCATATAAATTTTAAAGTGTTTGTTTGTCTTAGTGTAGTGTATTTTGTATTGTTATGTCCAGATTTTACATTTATGACATTCTACTATGTCGGATAGGCCACAATTGACGAAATGCCCCTGAAGATGATCTATTGATCGAAAGTACTTGGGCAAGATTAAATTAATCACTGTGTTCGATAGTTGCCTTGTACACCCTCAAAGTTTAAAAGAAAAAATGGCATTCAGAGCATCGACGCCAGGTTTACACTTATATATTCAGTTTGCAGTTGCCAAATACGGCATCTCTAAAGATCTAGTAACTTTAAGTAACGCTGTAGACAAAATAACAAGATTTGCCTTTTTTATAGCAAAATATATTCATATGCACTCATTATCACGATCTCGTCATTATCACAGTCGCCTCCGCTGCAATTTCCATGTCGGACATGTTGACGTTGGATCTACAGGGAACAGATTATATCGCTCCACTACTCAACCCAATGTGTGGATGCCAAATCAAACTTGGATACACAGTTGACCCAACGTTGACTCCAACGTTAGCGCCAACGTTGCATCCCATATGTGGAGCAGTCCTAAAAGTTTAAATTCTGCGTTTTCTAGTCATATTTGAAATGCCTTATATTTATTGCCACAACTCAAAATTGACATTTTGTGTCATAAATTTTGCAGATTGTTGTCTAAAAACGAATATTTGTCTACCATCAGTTGACAGAAATATTAAATTTGCTTGATATAACGAGAATCGTAAAAAATGGCAAAGATCGCGCACTGTTTATTAATTGAACAAATTTATAGAAACTGCCTTTATTTGCGGCAAAATATAAAAGTTACATACAAAAGCTGTACTTCTTACCTTTAAAACCCATTTTGAGTTTTGTCAGTACGATATTCTGACCAACAAATATCGAATTTTTGCCATCGAGGTCATACAAATTTTATTTAACATTAATTTCGCGCTCGCAACTGATATTGAATATCGCCAGTTGCTTCAATCGTTGTTTCTGAGAGAACAATTTATCTTACACAAAAATACTTATACACATTTTTGTTCAAAATTGTCTTAGGTACATTTTTTATTTTTAATTTTTTTTTCTGCGACACACAGATTCTTGATAAATCAATGTTTTTTCCGTTTTTTCTGACTAGGAAAGGGATTTAAGGGAGAAGCCCGAGGGTAAGAGTGTTACAATTTTTTGCATTTTTTTTTTGCCCCAAAATTGGTATTCTCGGCAGATATCTTGTTTTTATAATTTTTAGGGCTCAAATATCTGACGACTGGACTAATAAATAAATAAAATAGTGGTAATTAATATAAAATTAGCAAAATCGGATACATTGGCCAATAGAACCAAAATATTTTACGATGTATAATATTAGTTTGATATCGGTATGTATATCATAGAGTACACCACGCATCTTGAAGAAACTATTTTGAAGAATCTCTTGAACAAATGTTGCAATTTTTTATATAAAAATTAATCACCACTTCCATCCTGAACTCAGCACCAAATAAGGCCCTGCTTGGTTATCACTGGTTCGAAAATTTCATATATAAACCACATAAAAGTTGAAGACCAATAGATGCTGCAACATCGTAGGATTAATAAAGAATAGAAATAAATGAGCGTTGGAAGATCCACACTCAGATTATCAGTAAAACTATATTTTATTTTCTACTGAATATTTTAGTACATTCTGTATAATATAGATTTTACTATTTGTTATTTAATCATAAATACAAACTTTTAATTAAATTAAATTAAATTAACGTACATTTAGAATAGAAAAACGCAAAAAAATAAGATGCTGCTCGGACTTATAAAAGATTTTAGCTGTAATCAATATTACTTAATAACCGAACTGCAACGAAAATGAAACATAAAGCTGTCTAAAAATAACAAGATAGTTTGTAAAAAGTTTGATTGGATGTTATGGTAAATTTCAAAATATATTTTCATTGTAGTCAAGTAGATTATTAAAATAATTATATGCCAATAGATTAAATGCAACTAATACAAAAATTTTTGTGTTTACTACTTTTCATATTTTAGAAACGTCTGTCATTACAGTATTATGTCATGTTACATGTCACAATTGTATTACATTATTATTAAAATTTATACATGTAATTAAGATTTTAAAAATACGAAATAAGTCAATGGCAAAATGTCAATGTAAATCTACTGTAAAAATGGAAGAAAACGGATCTCAGTTTCAAATTTTAACTAAAGCTTTTGTGTCTAAACCAGCTCCATATTGGGAAGGAACTGCAGCAAAAGGCGATGAATTTGTAACACTCAAACTAACTGATTATCTGGGTAAATATCTGGTGTTTTTCTTTTATCCACTTGATTTTACTTTTGTTTGTCCAACTGAAATTCTGGCGTTTAATAGCAAACTGGAAGACTTCAGGGAAATAAATACTGAGATAGTAGCTTGTTCAGTTGATTCTCATTTTTCCCATCTGGCTTGGATGAATACACCCAGAATTGACGGAGGTTTAGGCAAAGTTAATTTTCCTTTACTATCAGATATGATGCATACAATATCACAGGATTATGGAGTATATTTGCAAAATGTTGGTCATGCTTTACGAGGACTTTTTATAATTGATAGAAAAGGTATAATTCGACAAATTACAATTAATGACGTCGCGGTAGGAAGAAATATCGATGAAGTATATAGACTGGTACAAGCTTTTCAATATACAGATGACAATGAAAATGTTTGCCCAGCTAATTGGACGCCTAACGCTAAGCATTCTAAAAAAGAAAAAAAGAAATTCTTTGACAAAATTGAAAATGGAGATAAATAATGTATTAGATGCTATATGTTCCTTGTTATAAATAAATTTTAAAAACTAATTAAAATTTACTTAAATCAATTATGGTCAAATATTATGCTTTTCCTTGTTTTAACTTAAAATATATTCATTTTAATATCCCACAGCAAAATTACTAGGTTTATAAAGTGGTTAATCAAAGTTATTTTTACATATATTTAACAATAGGAGTTAAGGAAAGTGTCTAAAACCGGACCAAAAAAAATATGAGTTTGGCGAGTCCGGAAAATAATTGCTTAAAGTGGATCTCCTTAAAAATTATGAATAAAGTTGTACCAATAATTAGAAAAAGTATTAAATAAAAAAAAAACATGATCTAGTTTATAACTATAAGTATATTGCAACAAAAATATTTAGGACAACGACTTAAATTATTAATTTATCTACAAAAACCGCAGATGTATGCATTCTTATCAGCTCCAGCATAATTCACATGTACTTCTACTTCTACTGAAAAAGTGTTCTGTCGTGGTGGCTTTTAAAATCTTAAGCACGTTCTTGCTGTTCAGTTTTCATTGCTTTTTTAGTTTTTTTAGATTCCATCAATTTAGATTTATAAGGCCAAGATGTGATGAATGTTGAAGCGCAGGTTTTCCGTCCCTTACTGGTGGCCCTTTTTTGATTTTTGGAATGAAAGTGATGTCTTGAATCTCTTGAATGTTGACGGTTGACTCGGGTCAAACTCTTAAATTATCTTTTTATCCATCGTCATAACATATTTTTTAGTGATCCCTGTAAAGATTTCATTACCTGTCGTTTTTTTCTTCGACATGGATTCTTGCATTTTGCTTGCTTCTTCAATATATTTCTCATCAGAAAACCGGTCCTTGTTCAGTGTATGTATTACTGTGGCTTTAAACTCATTTACGTCGCTTTGATTGCAATTTTAGCTGTTTAGCATTTAATGTATGCTTTGCCAAAGAGCTAAATTACATCAAAAACTGTAAGTGGCCCCTTATTATTTCTTAACCATTGCCTGATTTCCACAGTATAATAAATTTTAAGACAGCCCATGAAACGTTTGTTCAAAGGTTATAGCTTGTGTGAGGAGTGGGGAGTGGGAAGACACAATGTTAACATTGTGTATTTTTCTCAAATCGATCACTTCAATAAAGTGTGGCTATAATGGCCATCTAACAGTAACAGCACAGGTTTCTTCTTTATAGGATGGACAATGTCGATAAAATGCTTAAATCATTGAGTAATGGAGTTGATTTGAATCCAACCTGAATGATGCACTGCAAAAATTATTCTCGTTAGCTCCTTTTTTCAATTGTTCACGCATATTTTTTCTCGGAAAAATTACTAAAGGAGGGACGAATGAGCCACGGGCATTTATACAAGCAATAATCGCTATAAAGGCCCTAAAGGCCCCACCTTCTCCTGATGTTAGGGCAGTAATCTGTCTTTTACCTTTAAGGCCTATAACTTTGGGTATTTTAAAATGCCCCACACTAATTCCGCGCTCGCCTACGCTATAACTACCTTTTATCAGAAGTGAATCCATTTTTAACGTATAACTCCTCCGTTAACCCTACTTGGCAACAATTTTTCTCAGGCTATCTTATATGAACATTTTACCATTTTCATCCATTTTTTGACTGACATCCTGGTAACAGTATATTCTCCTATTTTTAAATGTATGTAAAAATATAAGCTTAGTCAACTACGTTAAAAATGTAGTAATTTTGCACTGAAATTTCTCGTGCTACAACTTGATTTATGTACTAACTAACCGATATATCCAGCGATAGGGAAGATACTGAATACAAAATAACAAAATTGTCTTAAAAACAGTAGAAATGGGGACCACTACTTACTACAGAAAAAAAACCAAATATCTCATCTGGAACCAGCACAGCAAATCTTGTATTAGATGTACTGTACAACAAGAAAATGGGGACTGGTGTTATATCTAATAACCTATTAAATTGAAAAGGAACACATGACCTGGAAACATGGAACATCAGAATAATACAAACCAGAACAAAAATAGCATATCTTAATGGAATTCTCTGAAACAAGAATATTATAAAATAGGGACAATTTATTATTTATAAATCTCTGGTAAAAAGTATGCTATTATGTGGATGTGAAACATAAGAATTAACAAAGAGAATCCAAAGAAAGATGGAAGCCACGGAAATGGATCTAATAAGGCAAATGCTAAAAGGGGAAAGAATGGGAAATAAAAAAACTAGGGACTAAAAGGAATATAAAGTATAAAAATGGATAGCATAATATAATAAAAACAGCTCATATGCATCATATTATAACCATCACCTTTAAGTGCTTAGGACATATTGAAAATAAGTTCAGGTTTTAAAGTTGGCTGTGGTTTAAATTAATGGTTTCGATCTAGTAGGATGCTGTCATTGCTATTAGTTGTTATTATTATTCTAAATATTCTGATTGTTGTAAAATTTAAAAAGCTAATTAAGTGTTAAACTTTCAGTAATATTTTTAGTCGATTAGGAGATACTGGACAATTTAAGTCTAAAAGTAATGTGAAACGTCTTAAAATTTTAACATTTGATCAGGAATATGATATTTTAGGCGAATTGATAATATACCTGAACTAAGCACTCGGCGCTTATCAGCAATAACTAAAGTAAGCCACTGTTTGGAGATAGTTGGTTGGGTCCTTATAAATTACCAATAAATTTTATTGGTAACTTGTTTCTACAAACAAGTTACCATTAAGTCTACACTTTTCAACAATATTGCCAACAAATGCCACTTAATCAAAAAAGTAATATGTGGTTTATATTTTTTATCATTGGATGGCAGAGGTAGTCAAGTTTTATGGAGTCTAGAACACCCAAATGTAATGAAATGAAAAAAAAATTAATGAGTTTTATTTCTGGGGGCATATAAAATTACTGGTATACTCACAAGAATTACAGGAATTACGTAATCATTAAGTACTATGGCAGCAAACAGTAAATTAGTCTAATTTTATTGACAATCAGTGAAACATATTTTTTAAACTTAGAAGATCATTTAACGAACATTGAACATTTTTTATAACGATTGTTTAAAATGGGTTTTTTAATACTATCAACTCATTAAAATTGATCTTTTATTTATATTATGATTGATTAAGATTATTTAAAAAAAATGGTTCTTTTTAAAACCACAATTTGTTTTAAATATTAAATGCTTCTGTTCGTTTCAGGAAATTTCACTAAATAACGTTGAGTATCAGTTATTATATACAAGGTGGTCCAGAATTATGTACATTAATTTCTAGAGCTCATACTACGTCCAAAAATAAGGGTACTTGTTTATGTACACTTTTTTATAAAACTGAATAATAAGGGAGATACAACCCTTTAAAGGGGTGAATTGAAATTCTTATTTTTTCAAATATCTTTCAAACGGTTTTAAATACGAAGTACGAAATACGAAATTTTGGGAGTGATTATAAGACATTAGGATAATTAATTTCATGTCACCATTTACCACATCCTATATTAATACAGGGTAGTTTTGGAGGGTAAGTGGGGGTTATTGCGTCACATGTTTTTTTTATTTTTACATATTTTAAAAAAAATATTTTAAAAATTGTTTCCTTAGACTTTTCTACGCAAAAATGTGCTCTTGTAATATTTCGATGGATATCACCGTTTCCGATTTATTTAAACTCGAAGGTATACATGTATTTTATTGTAATCGTTACATTTCTTAATATTCATCAAGTATGCTTTGGAATTGACACTTGTGTTAGCAACAACACTTTAATCTCCAGTAGTCTATGAATTGTCAGTGACGTTTAATAACAATTAAATTATTTTATCAACACTTTTATTGTACTCTACATTGAAATCTGTTTAACACGTCTCTTTTGCTATATTTTTAAATTTGTTTGCCCGCAATATGGCACACTATTCAAATTCTGAGATGACAGACATACTTTTAGTATTAGGGGAATGTTCGGGAAATGCTCCTGCCGCTGTAAGACGCTACAGAGAAAAGTATCCGAAGAGAAATATTCCCAATGCCAGGACTTTTGTAAGTACTCAACGACGACTGAGAGAAACCGGTTGTCTTCAAAGAAGGAATACAGATGCTGGTCATCGTAGAGAAGCAAGAAATGTTCGCGTTGAACAGCAAATATTGGATGCTGTAATAAATGACCCCACAATAAGTACACCCAGGTTACGATTAAGAACGAATATTTCACATCAAAGTGTTTTAAGAGTTCTGCATGAAGAGCAATTACATCCTTACCACTATCGACAGGTGCAGGAATTGTTACCTGGTTACGGTTACTGTTACCTGGTATGTCACTTAGAGTTGATTTTTGTGAAGTATTGCAAAATAAAGTTCAAACTGTACCAAATTTTTTAAGCAACATTCTGTTTACAGACGAGGCCACATTTACTAGACAAGGTATGTTCAATTCTAGACATATGCACTTCTGGGCTGAATAAAATCCAAGGGCTACAATGGAAACTCACTTTCAACACACGTTCAAAATAAACGTTTGGGCAGCTTCTTTAGGAAATAGTTTCATAGGTTACCATATCTTTTCCGGAAATTTAAATGGTAACATGTATTACAATTTTCTAGACAATATTTTACATGGTATTTTGGAAGATATTCCATTACAAATACGAAGAAACATGTTTTTCATGCATGATGGTGCTACACCACATTACAGAAGAATTTGTAGAAGGTGGTTACATGAACATTTTCCTGATAGGTGGATAGGCCGGGGTGCGGATGCACTGATTCATTGGCCTGCTCGTAGTTGTGATCTTAATCCAGTGGACGTTACAGTATGGAGTTATTTGAAATCAAAAGTGTATAACACTCCAATTAACACAGTAAATGAGTTAAGAGACAAAATGTAACAAGTATTTACCGATTTACAAAACGATTCAGTAACATTAAATGGATTAATGGGTTCGCTAAATAAAAGAATTAGATTATGTATTCAACAAAATGGAGGAAATTTTGAACAGTTGTTGTGAAATATTATTTTCGCCATTAATTAAATGTTAAGTATTAATTAAG